GGCCATGGCTCCCAAGAGATCTCACGAACAGATGGCGGACATTCTTCCACCGTCGAAGGGTGCTTCTGGGTCCGCCTCCGGACCGTCGTCGATGCCTCCGACGCCTGGACATCAAAGTGAGTATCACTGTCTTCTTTGTTTTAAGTATTCTTCGTCAATGTGTTTTCTTGACATTCCATAGACGAGTTCTGGTTGATGATGACGAATAAAATTCGTCTTTTCAACCTTGAATATGCACAGAGTTTGCATTCTTCTTGATGAAAACCGTTCATCTTCTTGACTTTGGATCCTGAAGGAATTTCTTGTATCCATTGTAACGATGAAGAATCAAACTCTTGAAGTTGAACACCTGGAGAACAATTGTTTGTCTTAGATACGAACAACTGTTCATGTGTTCTTTGATCTTGAATGTGGAAGAAGGCTTCCGTGTTTATTGATAAGATGAAGGGATTAATCTCTTAATCTGGAACTCAGGCAGAAGTCCTGCGTTCATAGCTTTTGAACGCAGGTTTAACTTCCTTGCGTTCAGGCTGATCCTGACGCATGTTTAGATTTACTGCGTTTGCCTCCATCTATTTTATTAACTTTGCTTTGGCTCATATGCCAGGTGGGGCTTCTGCTGCTGAGCCCATTGTTGTATCTGATGATGAAGAAGAAGGAGTTCTCCCAGAGAACGCCCCTCTAATTACACCGCTTGCAATGGTTCCTCGTGGTAAAATGTACACCCCAGACCTTGAGAGTGTAACTTTCCTCACCAATCTCCTAGAGAACATGGTGAAGCAGGCACACTTCATCGCGGAGCAAGGATGGGCTCCATTTTCAGATTTTCTGGATTCGTTCTTTGATGTGATGGCCTTGCTAGAACGCCTCAATCGCAGTTGGGCTGATCACTGTGTCAGGAAGGTTCACTCGTTCAGACGTTCAGTGGAACTCATAGAAGAGCTGCAGAGCACTGACTTGGAGCCTGAGATAGAAAAGACTCTTCAGGCTTTGCGATCAGAAGCTGGCACTGCTGCTCTCACCGCCGAAGAACTGAGAGCGAAGGCTGC